ACGACGGCGGCGGAAACGGGGGCCTCCCCCCCTCCCCAAAGGGGATCCGACAGGGGTTTCGAAACAGACGGCCTCGGCGGGGGGGAAAATCCCCTCCTCAAGGCATCGCGTGAGGGCGTCCAACCCCTCCCGCACCGCCCCTACCGGGAAGGCCGCGGAAAACCCGCATCGGGAGGGCCCGAAACCCCCCAAGGGGTCGCGTGGATCGAGAAACCGACGCGCGAGTTGGAGGCCGTGGGTGAGGGCGTGGAGGAGATTCTCGAAGGATTCGCACAGCGCGTCGTGGTTTTCCGGCGCCGCGGCGAGGGCCGCGCGGAGGACCCCCGCGCCCTCCTCCGTGAGTCGCGCGAGCAGCCCCGCGAGGGCCTCCACCCCGACGAAAAAACCACCCCCAAAAGCCGCCGCCGAAGAAGACGAAGAAAAGAAGGAGGGGGGCGGAAAGGGTTGGAAGACCCCTGCCACAACGACGCGACTTCGCTCGCGGATCTCCTCGAAAAAGGACGGCCAAATCGACAAAAACGACCCCCCTCCGCCCCCCCCTCTGCCCTCCTCCTCTCGATCGACGAGGGCGGCGCGGAGGAGGGCGACGAGGACTCCGGCGAGGGCCACGCGAACCCCTCGCGAGGGGGAACCCCCCATCCCGTCGAGAAGGGCACGGCCCACCTCCGGGAGGGCAAACCCCCCTTGGAGGCCACCGTCTTCTCGATTTGGTTCTCCATTTCCTTCTCGGTTTTCGCGTTTGGCCGCCCCGTCGCCGCGGGCGAGGTGAGGGGCGATTCGGAGGAGCTCTCGGAGGAGGCTCGCCGCGGCGAGTCGTCGTCGTGGAGGGGCGTTGCCATCCGCGAGGAGGCGGAGAAAAAACGGGAAGGCGGCGGGAAGGCGGGCGGGGAGGGTGGAGAGGGCGTGGAGGAGCCCGCGCTGCACCGCGGCGTCGGCGGAGGTGACGGCGTCGAGAAGGCGCAGAAGACCCTCAGGGTCGTCCGCGCAGCTGAGAGGATCCATCGGATGACCTTCCCTCTTGAAATGGGAACAGCAAAAGCAAAAAAAAAAGGAAAGGAACGGAGAGGAAAGGCGGGGAAATAGGTGTAGGTAGGATGGATGAACAAGCGCACGTGGGAAGGGCCAGGATGAGACCCGCGCGTGGATGCATAATCACATACGGAAAGGAATCCATGAAGCAGGAAGAAAGATGCGCAGGTGCATCTTGGTTCCCCTTAGCTACCTTGTGCTATGGGACTTCATATACTCGCTGCTTCTGAATAAGAAATCATTTTAAAAAAGGGGATAATCATGCTTCATTTTTATATAGAAAGTATCTTTTCATTTAGGGTTTTTTTTGCGGTTTACCTTTTCGCATCCTAGGATCATGAAACCAACGGGATGCTGGACTCAACTCTCTCTAATGTGATGTGTATTATTTCACAAAGGAATATGAAAAGGTAAAGCCTCTCCGCTTTTATAAAAAATAGCAATAATAAATGAAAAATGCTATGATAGAACTCTTCGCCTGTCACTTTTACCGAAAATTATTTTTTCAAAAAAAATTGTTTATAGATATACATATATATATATATATATATATATATATAAGATA